TTCACATATCAAATTTTAAGGCAATCCATTAAGAAATACATGTGATATAAAATCTCAAATTTTGATTGAATTTCTTCCTATTTTTTTTCTTCTTCACACTGAAAATACAGAAAATTTTTCATATTCCAAACTACAGCTGTTTATGGATAAACAAAAACTGGGTTTCAGGTTCATTAAAAGCTTTCAGCATGTTAACAGGCATGAACTCCACGTTTATTTAAACAGTAGTTATCAAATGTTAAATGGCAGCATCAGCTGGTTTCGTTCTTAACCTTCTGACCATGGGTATCCCTTTAAACACTTTTCTGCACAAGTCATCATGTTACATTCATAATTTAATTAAACACCTTTACTATCAATTTATGTGAATTAAATTAACATTATAATGTATGTTATAAAATGAAGTTTTATGTTATCTAAATTTTAAGTCCTTTATTCCAAAAGAAATCTAAAAACTACTTAAAATTTCAGATGTATTGTCAAATGACCATGAAAAATCTCTACTTTGGCTCTCTGTATTTTCAATAATACAATGGTAGTTGTGTAGATGTACATCTAGACTCTAAGATGCTTACATAACCTTTAGACTCGTACATTTCAAAGTTCTCTGAATGAATACAGTTGAAAAAAGTAATAGATTTTTTCAACCCATGACAGATGCCATGCCCACCTTCAACGGTTTTGTTTGAGCTTTATAGCTTACATGTGGATGTTACATCACATTTGTATAGTCATTAGAAAGAGGTCAGTTTACACTATTATCTAACAACAGTTATTTTGCAATTGATGTGCAGTTGTCATCACAAAGTACATGTAACTGACTGTAGTATTGTTGGCTGTTTCATCTACCACAGCACTTATAGTTGTTTCTTATCTAAATATGTTATAGTTTGAGATACAGTTTAAATTGTATTTGGGTTTTACTATTATATTTTAATTAATTATGTATTAATTATGTTTTAAAATGTATAATTGAAAGGTTTAAACATATTTAAATATACATCATACTTTGCATTAGTTCTCAAAGCTAATGATATTATGTGTAGCACGAAACTTTTACCAAAGGGTTGCGCATGTCTACCAAAGACACCGTAATATGTCTTCAGGGCACCATTGACTTGTGGCAAGATGAATAATAAGTGATAAAGGACAAGAAAGGAAAAATAAAAACATTAAAAATTAACTGTATGTGAAAAGGAAAACCTGAAATTACAAACTTAACAAAAGGAAAATCTTTACTAATATTCTACAAAAAATTAAAAGGTATATATTTTTTCTATTTCTAACTATAATTATTTCATTGCATTGTACATTGATGATAATAGCTAGAGTTAGTGATATTGTAGATGCAAGGAAAAATAAAATATAAACATTTACCTTAAAAAACTTTTAATATTCATTTAGGAGGTTCTAGAGGTTATGCAAATGAATTATAAAAACTATAAGATGAAGAAAAGTATTTTTTTATACTAAGAATGAAAATAACCTTGCACTTGAACTATTTTAACAGTTTGAGTGCAAATAACTACTAGAGATAAATAACATTTTTTATTAGAGAGACATTATTAAAATACTGGCATTCTATGTGTACAAAATACTTATAAACTTTAACACAATCTTACAAGATTTTGTGAGGAACACTCAGAGTTACTGCATGTTTTTGGCATAGATGTCCTTCTCCAGTTGAAGTGATACAAACTGCATCAGCTAGAGGAGAAAGGGTTAACTCTTTCCACCCGGGCTCAGTCCCTGGGACCAACCTCTTAACCATTTTGTGCTTGTTATAGTTTTCATGCTAAAACTTTTAATTTAGTAAGTGAATGTTAAACAAATTTGTTAGTTTATCAGTAAGCATTACAATGCTTTCATATGCGAAATATCTAATTTTTTTTTATTAAGTCTTAATGTTTGTAAAGCAACGTTTCTCTCATGCCTTTTTTTTCTTTTCACATCTTGCCTATCTATCATGCAAAGTAATTTTAATCTTAACACTAACAACACTTTTATGCATCAGAAAATTT